ATTAGGCGTTTTAACTTGGAAATTTAGTCCAAATGGTTTTCCAACAGTTCCAAAATCTGACAAGCCTATTTATTTGATTAGTTGCTCAAAGTCTAACTTTAGAATTCATAACAGGATTACCATTCAATTGTCATTCACTCCTTAGACTTGCATTAATCTTCCATTACTAACCAAAGGACGGATGGATTTATTGCCTCCAATGCTGACCATTTCTATTGTGTATGGTAGATATATAACTGTGACCCTTCATCACTTCTAATTTAATACAATCAGATACATTATGAGGAACAGATAGCTATTGTAGATAGATAGATGTAACCTTTATCAGAATCACTTTATTTCCATTATTTACGTGAAAGTGCATTAGTTGCTCTTTAAAATGTTAATCTGTTACTTTCACCAACTATCAATCCAAAGGATCAAAATCCTTGTCTTTGTCACAATTACTATAGTTCGTCTGCCACTTCCAACCTGGTAGTACTGCAATAATGATGTGATATTCTTTATTTTAGACCACCTCAACTACGTGACTATACAAATTAAGCTAAATGAGAAAGCATTCATGAGGAAAGAATTCACTCACACATAATTCATTGTTAAAATATTAGACACATCTTCATTTAAAGTGAATGAAACTTACATAATTCATTGTTCAATTACAAAAGCTGGCACATACAACAAAGACATACAATTACATTTTTTTTCAAAAGAAGTCTCCTATTTTTGTAACATTATCCTTCCATGACAAACACCAAGCTTCAAAAGTTGAATACCAACCCCAACAACATATAATCACTTGACAAAATAGCATCTGAGTACTTTGTATTTCTGACTGGATCTTTGTGATTACTCCAACTGCTGAATAGTCTGCGAGAAAAGAAAATTTCAATACAGTCTCGGAGAAGAAGGAATTAAAAACACCTTGGAGAAGATGAACTTACCGTTTGGGTCAGCGTTTTGAGCAATCTGAAGAGCATCTGAGTTGGCTACTTACAAAAACACTAATGTTGAACCTAATCATGCATTTGTTATACAAAAACAACCTACTTTAAGCCCACAACATTCACATATATGTACATTTGTGGACATTCTACTAGGTAACAAAAAATCTCATTATGGTTAGACCTTACAAAATAGATACACAAAAACCATTCAGTGATTTAAAGCTTATCATTAATAATCATCCATATCATACTGTGACGCTTAAGTTCACTGATGCTTAAGAAGAATTCCATCCTCTTTATATCTTGTGTAATTCCCATTGCTGCCTTGACTCGTTCATCTGAATTGTATATTTCAAATGCAGGGGATCCGATAATAGAAAATATCTTACCACGAATCTCAGATAGATCACGCTCTCCTAGCTTGTCAATTAAAGAAGCCATCCTTTTGTTATGGCTTTCAGTGAATTGTTTCATTACCTCCATCAAACCTTTAAGAACAGTCTCATTATCATCTTCAGTTGTTTTTCTTTTTTTGCATCTACTTTTTTCGTTGACTTTAGAAGATGATGCTTTAAAACTACTACCTTGTTTTTGAGATTGATGGGTTTCACCTTTTTGAGTTGTGAATGAACTTTGTGCTGCTCCAGTTGATTCATTAGGTTCATCTTGAGCAGTAAATGGACTTTGTATTGCTCCAGGTGATACATTAGGTTCCTCTTGAGCAGCTTGATCTTCTCTTGTGCCTGAAGCATCATCTACGTCGACAACATCAATAGGAAATCCCACAGACGTGCCATCAGTAATTTCTTGAGCTTCAATTCTTTCTATTGTTTCAACAACATCTTTTGGCCCTTCTGCAAACTCTCCAGTAGCTCTATCCTTGCCAAATATCTCTTCCCAGTCAGCAAATAATGGACATTTTTTTTAAGTTCATTGACTTGGCATTTGGATCAACCTAAGAAAATAAAGAACAAGTACATGAAGAAACTGAAAATATTCCATAAACAAAGATCCATTAACCAAGAGAAAATATAAGTAAGTAGCAATTCCCTAATGATTTAAAATAAATATAAATCACCTTTATCAAGTCATCCCAAGCTTTAGGATCATCAACTAAGATACTTCCATCACTATATTGAAATCCTAAACCACTTCGACTCTTTAGCAACGATATTGTTGCATAACTCTTTTTCCATGCTCTTATTTTAGAATCAACATGTGGTAGAGATTTCAATCCACAGTTAGGATGACGAGCATTCATGTAGTGTTCCAATTCCATTAAATATCCATGTCTAAAGGTTCCATTATCTCCTCTCCAACCATTAACACACAATTCTTTTAATCCATCTACAAGAGTAAGTTCCTCTTCTGGAGTCCACACCCTTCGAGATGAAGGTGTTGATTTTCTTGCCCTCTTTCTGGACGTGTTAGATGCTGCAGCAGTAGAACTAGCCATTTCAATCTGTAAAATTGTAAATGAAATCACAAGTAATACTAAGTTACAACTTACTAGTAAATTATGTCAATTATAACCCAATAAATTGTAATACAACTTGATTGCTTACAAGTAAATTATTTCAATTATAACCAAATAAATTGTAATACAACTTGATTAATCTGGGAAAAAGATAATGTGAAGACATATATACAAATTCACTACTTATATTCAAAAATAATAGATATACATTGAGTTTCACTATTTGTCTGTACAGACAACAATGTGAGACATACAAAAGATTGACCATTCGTTTTTTCACAAAATAATAAAAGCTATTACATTTTACAGTGAGCGGAAAACCAAAAACAAAAGTGCATAAGCACACCAAAAGTGATCACATAGTTTAAAATTATAAAGATTGATTTCCCAATCTTTCATTCCACATAGACTGAGCTAGTTCATCCCTCCAAGTGGTCCACTCATCAGATGCTTCAATTGTATTAATATTGTCATGTTCATGTTGATTTTCCATGTGGAATTCCATTTCCACATCTAATGGGTCAGCTTCCATCTCTCTTCGAATGAAATTGTGAATCAAACAACATGCACTAATAATTCTATTGTGAACCTTAACCGAGTACCACGAAGGACTTCTAAGAATTCCCCAACGTCCTTTTAATAGTCCAAATGCTCTTTCAATAACATTACGCGCCCTAGCATGCTTCATATTAAAGAGCTCTTCTCGACATTGAGGTTTTTCAATAACATTACGCGCACTAGCATGCTTCATATTAAAGAGCTCTTCTCGACATCGAGGTGATGGATTGTCACCCTGCCAATCCTTTATCCAATATCTATATCCTCGGTAGGGAGACAAAAACCATTTCCATTTGTATATCCTCCATCGCACAAATAGTAATTGCCTAAAAATGTAAACAATAATATAATTACTTTAAATATTATTCTATTTTGATGTAGTAGAAATAGACAAGGGTCTGCCTATTATTTAGCATACCCTGAGGTACTTTCAACCCATTTCTTCGTACAACAGCATCTCGCAATACGCGACCATCAGCGGCTGATCCCTCCCAACCAGGTAATACATAAATGAAGTTGAGATTTCTATCACAAACCCCCAATACATTAGTTGCTATATCTCCTTTTCGTGTTCTATATCTTGGCTATTATATTGCTTCAGCTCTAATGGAAATGTAAGTACCATCCAATGCACCAAGACAACCCTATAAGATAAATTCAACTCAAAATACTAAAGGACTATTAAAAGTAAAAATACTTTCACCATAATATTTCAAGTTTGTTGTAGTAAATCAAATGTTAGATTGAAATTTACCTACCTTAAACCATTTCCATCGATCATCAGTATCATCTTCGAGCACCGGATTAGGTTTAACAAGTAACAATGGAGTTAGTTTAAGAATAGCTCTTAGACATTCATTAAAGGCTCGACTTACACTCCACCCCGATCTAATATAATCAACTTTGATAGACCTGTTCTTTTCGTGATGAGCCAAAATATTTAAGAACATTGCTAATTTTTCAGTACTCGACATATTTTTACTATCAGTCAACCCTTCTAGATTGGTTTCTTAATAACATGCTGTAAATAGCCATAAAAAAGCAAATAAGGACAATATACGAATGCACCACAATCTCCTCGAGGATCATAAAGCATTCAACATCGCACAATTGCTGAGAATCCATTTACACCTATTTTCCATTTAAAAATTGCAACATCATTATCAAATTGAATCCAAAAGAAACAAAAGTATCAATCATGTTACTTAACTAATTATTGCAGACACATTATGTATAATAGGAAGGTAATAGATGGTTTCAAACTAGAATGTTCAATTTTATTAAAAAAAATGTGAAAAGTAACATTGAAAAACAGGGTAAAATGTTTATTTTTGTTTGGCTTCAATAGCTAGAATACTAATACTATTTTTTTCAAACTGCAAATAACATGTTTATCTTTTGCAGTTTTAGAAGTTAAAACAACTAAACTTAATGAACCCATTTTTCAGAAAGCACGATTTTTGAACAAACAAAACAAAATCCACATCAAATTTGGGTGTACTAAAACATCAACTTAACTAGAAAATACTGAGAAGATCTAGAATTTCATTTGTCTCTCATCAGATTAACAAGAGGAAAAACACAAAAAAGAGAAAACAGGAGGAGAAGAAGAAGAAAATAAAACAAGATCAGCCAAATTTTGAGTTTCGGAACTTCTAGCCTCAAAGAAACAACACTAGATTGAAAGTTTTTCAATCTATTTGCCTGGAAGATGAAGAGCCATTCTAGATCTACAGATATGGAGAGAGGATCTGAATGTTTATCTAAAAAGAACTGTATATTTGATTGAGAGTGAAGGGAAAAATTGTCAATTTATATTTTTATTCAGGTATTAGTTATTCAGGTATAACTTATTCCATCTTTTACCCTGCATAAAATAATACATAGATTGACTCATAATTTAAACATGTATTAGTTATGTGGTTTTCTAATTTTCTAACCAAACATAGTATTATGTGTGTTGAATTTTATACTTTGACAAAAAAATACTACCAAACATGGTAAAACTTATGCAACATTTTATACCTGAATAACTCAATCCTTATCCAGTAACCAAATGCCCCCTAAATGCTTGTGGCACATTGAGTGTATTTCACTCTCTCAAAGAGAGTGAGGACCAAAACAGATAATAAAACTTTATTTTTAAAATTTCTTTTCATAAATATGTGTATTTTTAATTATTCTTTTTTCTTATTTATTTTCTTTCTTCACATCAACATAAAGCAAATCTCTCCACCACTCACCTTCTCTAAACCGCCGCAATCATCACATTCATTGGATTCAACATGAAATTTTATTATTCCTCTTGAGTCTAGAATTTTAATTTTTCAATTTGTGCATGAAATTAGGAAATTTTGAAAACCAACTCTTTATTAATATTATTAAAATTGTTAATCATCATTTTACATGCCTAACCACATGGCCAAATGGGTTAGAAAATTCTTATCTTTATTTTTGGTGCCCTAATCTATTATCTTTAGAAAATGGCCAAATACCCCCTAATCTATTATTGGATTTTCAACTACACACTTAAACTTTACGGGAGTCCTATCACCCCCCTGAACTGTTTAAAATCAAAATTATTGGACCCCTAAAAAGCCACAATCACATTTATGTTCATGGGTGAAACTCACGCGTTTGCCATGTGAAATTCCATTAAAAAAAGTTTTTCTTCAATTTTTTCATTATTCTTTATTCTTTTCTTCTATTTTTTCACCATCTCTCCAAACCCAAAAATATTTTCACCATTTTCTCCATTACTATAAACACCAAAGGTCTACCAGTCACTACAATTTTCAAAAGGAGAAAGTCGGGAATGATTTTGATTCCCATTTGTCATTTCGTCCACTACTTGATTGGTATTAAGATCATTTCCATGAATGCATATGTCAAATTTCTCAAATTTGAGTTAATGAATACATAACAATGGAGGAAGGTTGAATGTGGGTTTCATTGAAAATTCAAAATTCTTCGTTGGTTTGGATTAAAATTACAAATTTGGAGCTCCGAAGAACCAAAATAAGAATTTGCCAACCGAATTAACTTTGTGGATTGACCATGTACAAGGATGATTAACAACTCCAATAATATTGATAAAGAGTTGATTTTCAAAAATTTCTAATTCCATACACAAATTAGAATCAAGAGGAATACAAAAATTCTATGGTACATCCAGTGAAGATAGTAGTGGCGGCAAAGACGTAAAAATGATGGGAGATGGACAGATCTGGTCACAAAAAAGGAAGAGATTTCTATGAAGAAGAAAGAAAAGAATAAGGAAAAAAAATAAAAGATATATATATATATATATATACACACACACTAAAAATAAGTTTTAATATTTTTTTTCGGTGCTCACTCTCTCAAGGAGAGTGAAATACACTCACTTCGCCACATAAGCATTTAGGGAGATGATAATTTCAGTTTTAAACAATTTAGGGGGGTGATAGGACCCCGTGAAGTTTAAGTGTGTAGTTGGGAATCCGATAATAAATTGGGGGTGGAGGGGGGGGGGGCATTTGACCATTTTCTCATTTAAATTCAAGTTCAGAAAGAATTTTGGGTCGTCAACGAAACCCATATGCGATTTTGAAAATAGAAATGAAAAGATCCATTTTTATGTATCTATTACCTCAATTTGAAGAATTCGGCAAATTCATTAATGAAAATAACTTGAGTATCAATCAAATGGTGGATGAAACGGTTAGAAATAACATTCTCGCCATATTTTACCCTTCAAAATTGTTGTTGCGGTCATCGATGATGAAAACATGAAACATATCAACTCCTCCAAAACTTGAGTTTTTTTTTATACATCAAAGATTTAAGAGGGTGTTTGGATTGACTTAAAAGTTGGTCAAACCTACTTTTAAGTCAGTTTTTGACTTCTGGAAGTGTTTGACAAATATAAAAAATAACTTAAAATAAGTCGTGAAGTGTTTGGCAAGGTAAAAATATGACTTAAAATAAGTAAAACATGACTTAAAATAAGTCAGAAACCAAAAGTAGGTCTCTCCCTACTTTTTATTTTTTGACTTAAAAGTCATTTCAGTTTGACTTTTTAGCTACTTTTTTAAGTCAATCCAAACGGGACTTGATAATATTAATGGTAGGAAGGAAGAAGTGGGTTGGGTTGATTGATAAACTTTTGATGTTTGCAAGGAAGATGAAAATGGTGGAAAGAAGATTAATCAATGGCAAAAAACGAAAGATTATCAAAGATTTGTAACTTCACCTTTCAATAATAAAACTTGAAATTTCATAACTGCACATTTCATTACGGTAAGCTTAAAACTATCACAAATAAAACTTGAAATTTTCTCTTCTATGACAGAAAAAGTTTCATCAAACAAATGTCAAGAAAAAAGCAAAAGAAAAGAAGAAAGGGGCTGGAAAGAGAAGAAAAAAAAAATATAAGGATAATAGAAAGAAAAAGATGATACTCATTTTTTTGATTAAAAAAATAATATATATTAT